GATCATCTGTAACCTCACAGAAATCTATGTTAAATTCTTGCCATCTTAAGCTTTATAAGGCAAACTGGTTTCTAAAGCAAATGGATGTTTTCAAAATTTGGCGAAACATTTTTCAGATGTTTATTTTGACCAAACTAGAAGCTGAATAACAAAGTGACCATCAGCATGGAAACATGGGAACTCTTCTAGAACATATAACTCTTCATGGAGCTATAATAAGGCTGACAACAAAGGCAGCAGCTTGGTGGTCCTGGTGGCCCCCAGTCGCTGCTTACAGTGGAAGGGAAGAAGCTGCCTGAGTTAACTCTATTTAACGTGTCCTGCAGTATCTGAAATGCATAAATATGTCAAGTGAAGAAGTCTTAATAGACCTGCTTAGGCTGGTAATTGCAACAGTATTGTTTCCTTCTGATTAAGACAAAAGTGTTCCCTCCAGACCCCCACCCCTCGATTGCTTCAGCTCCTTCATCTGCATTAGCCGCTGCTTTAATCTGCTCTCTACTCAGGTATTTAGAATAAATCAATGGGAATACATGATTGTTTAATGATTTTTGGAGGAGCTTCCTTCGACCACAGCTGCATGATTCCCGATGACTAATCCCAGTTTTAAACATTGATCCTAGGTGGTGGGAGGCCGAGCATCCTCACTGAGGAATGCTTGAATTAGCAGGCTACTAGCTAGGCATGCCAGCATCTAGGAGTGAGTAACAGATTCCTTCAAGATTACATTCAGTCTGGGTGGAAAAGGTCTGCTATAGGTCTGCTCATCTAGAAAAAACAGAAACGGTTTGTGATCCAACTTTAGATCAACTAAAAAATTCTATAAAAATAGAAAAAAACACCTTAAAGTTCCAGCCAAATACAAAAACACTGCTAAATCATACTGATGCTCATCTTAAAATTATTATTTCAGTTCCGATAGATGTTTCTCCTTTGCTCTGCCTTGGCCCTATTGTGGTTCTACGTTTCTTACACCTCATCCAAAAAGTTCATCCTGGGCTATTTTCTGCATTTGTGCTGCTATAGGCTTAGACTGCTGGAGGACATAGGGACCCCTTTTTCATCATTCTGCTTCATTCTATCTCTGTTCTCCCACTCTGCAGAGTGTCGATTCACATAAACATAGAAACATAGAAACATTAAAGTAGTTAATGAATGACTGACTTAATGCTTCATGCATATGAAGAAAAACTGCAAACTATGAAAGTAGCAAAGTCTAAGTTATGTCAGTAGCATCCATATTCCAGTATGATTGTTTCTCCTCGGTTTTCTGACATCTCAGTGGGCATCTCAGTTAAAATGTCCACATTGGAATCAGGAATTTGGAGTATTTTAGGAAAGTCAGACCTCTCTGCTTTCAGTAGAACTAAATGCAGCACAGGCTCCCTCGCAGTCATTAAGCTGCAATTGCTCTCAGAAGAAAAAAGGGGTTAAACTTGAAGCGCTGCAGGTGCGGTGATCCATCGGCTGACTTGTACCAACAGCCTCTGCTGTTTATCTGCTTCAAAGCAGTGAAAGGTGAACTCATTATTCCTGCCGTTTGAATTCCTGCAGTTCTGGGGGCGAGGAGGGAGGGGTGGGGGCACCGTCCTTCCAAGCTTGTTGATGGACACTTTAATTACAGTGGAAGCTGATTAATTATGGGCCTGCCAGCTGCCACTTTGCCATGAACCTCCGCCCTCCTCAGCTGCCTGAAAAACAGGAGCATCAGGTGAACGCCATATCTGTGGTAACCGCAGCTCGAGCTGAGAGAAGGTCACTGCACCTCCAAAGGACATCAGTCAGGAATAAGAAGTGTTTTATTTACACCTGGGGCTCTTTAATCACACTTATAAGAATTTGCATAAAGCCTCAAGAATTTCTCTCTCGGACTAAATACAGTGAGGAAAATAAGTATCTGAACACTATTCTGCAAGTTCTCCTACTTAGAAATCATGGAGGGGTCTTAAATTGATATCGTAGGTGCATTTCCATTGTTTATTTCTATGATTCGGCTGCAAATAAGTATTTGAACACCTGAGAGAATCAGTGTTAATATTTGGTCCAGTAGCCTTTGTTTCAGAGTTGAAACGATTCCTGTAGTTTTTACCAGGTTTGCACTGCAGGAGGGACTTTCTCCTACTCCTCCACACAGATCTTCTCTAGATCAGTCGGGTTTCTGGGCTTTTGCTGATAAAAACAGATTTCGAGCTCTCTCCAAAGTTTCTCTATTGGGTTTAAGACCGGAGACTGGCTAGGCCACACCAGAACCTAGAACTGCTTCTTCCAGAGCCGCTCCTTGGTTATCCTGGCTGTGTGCTTCGGCTCATTGTGATGCTGGAAGACCCAGCCTCCACCCATCTGCAATGCTCTATCTAGGGGAGGAGGTTCTTCCGCGGCATCTGGCAATACATGGCCCCGGTCCTCCTCTACTTTATACAGATAACAAGCTCAGAGATTTCACACAGGTTAGGGAGAATCTGGTCCTCACAGGCAGGCAGGGTCAGGTAAACAGGAAGACAACAGTAGGTCAGGCTGGTTGCAGGTCCAAGGACAGAATCGGGTGAGGCAACAGACAGGCA